AGGGTGTGACCTCTGGGATTTGGCGGCCTGGGCAGGAGGAGGGTGAAGATGGTTAAGAAGGGAGGCAGGGGCAGGGGGGAGCCTGACTCTGGCGCCCTCTAGCTGTGTGACTGGGTCAAACCTCAATGACCTTTTTAAAACTGGTAATGCTACTATCTCCTCACAGGACATGTGCCTGGCGCACTCAGTAAAGGTTAGCCATCCATATTTTTTATGAGATACAGAAAGCGCTTCTGCACAGCAACATCGTATTTTTATTTATTTATTTTTTTGAGACAGAGTCTCACTCTGTTGCCCAGGCTGAAGTGCAATGGTGTGATCTTGTCTCACTGCAACCTCCACCTCCGAGGTTCAAGTGATTCTCCTACCTCAGCCTGCCAAGTAGCTGGGATTATAGGCATGCACCACCACGCCCTACTAATTTTCATTTTTTTTTTTGAGACGGAGTTTCACTCTTGTTACCCAGGCAATGGCGCGATCTCGGCTCACCGCAACCTCCACCTCCTGGGTTCAGGCAATTCTCCTGCCTCAGCCTCCTGAGTAGCTGGAATTACAGGCACGCGCCACCATGCCCAGCTAATTTTTTGTATTTTTAGTAGAGACGGGGTTTCACCATGTTGACCAGGATGGTCTCAATCTCTTGACCTCATGATCCACCCGCCTCGGCCTCCCAAAGTGCTGGGATTACAGGCTTGAGCCACCGCACCCGGCCTAATTTTCATATTTTTAATACAGATGGGGTTTCAACATGTTGGCCAGGCTGGTCTCGAACTCCTGACCTCATGATCTGCCTGTGTCGGCCTCCCAAAGTGCTGGGATTACAGGCATGAGCCACCACGCCTGGCCCAACATCATATTTTTAAAAGCACTCCTGTTAACCCGGCATGGTGGCTCACGCCTGTGATCCCAACACTTTGGGAGGTTGCAGCTGGAGGACTGCTTAAGGCCAGAAGTTCGACACCAGTCTGAGCAACATATTGAGACCCTCACCTCTACAAATAATAATGATAAAATTTTAAAATTAGCCAGGCTTGGTGGTCCCAGCTGTGGTCCCAGCTACTCGAGAGGTGGAGGCAGGAGATCTCTCGAGCCCTGGAGGTGGAGGCTGCAGCGAGCTGTGATGGCACCTCTGTGCTCTTTCGTCTTTTACAGCCTGTTCTCATTCCATCGGTGTGGCTGCCTCCTGCATGCTCACTTACGATGCCGTGTTGTTCCGACCAACTAACCGCCACTTATTTATCAGCAGCAGCATAAATAGTATGGCAGTTAACCTCTATTGAGCACTTATGGGATGCCAGGTACTGTGCTAAGTGCTTTGCAGGTACCATTTTATTTATTACTATGATTATTATCCCAGGACAGTGAGAAAGCTGAGGCTTCTCGAGGTCATTTTGCCCACCTAACATCACCGGCTTCTAAGGGAAGGAGGAGGGTTTGAACACAAGCACTTTAAGTCCAAAGTCTGACTTTCTAACCTGCAAACCACCTCTCTGCCTCTCCCCTGCCCATCCACTCCCACACATGGGTGAGGATGCCCACATACCAAGACATTCATGGCACCCTGATGGTCCTTGCAAAAGTCTGGAAACTGAAGTGTCATTAATAGGCGAGAAGGAGGCGGCAAGACGGAGTGCTGCCCAGAAGTGATTTCTAGGACCAATTTGAAAGGAAGAAAGCAAGGTGCAGGGCCGTGTGCTGATACTTCCATTTATGTGTTGAAAAGATCATAGGCACGTCTATGCTTGCGTGTGTGTAAAAATTTTAATGTGTAAGAAACTATTAACTACAGCTGCTTTGGGAACAGAATATAAGGATCTGAGGTAAGAGGGAGATTTACTTTTGATTGTATATTCACCTGCGTTCTTTGATTTTATTTACTTTTATTTATCTTTTACTGTATTAACTTTTTTTTTTTTTTTTTTTTTTGAGATGGAGTTTGCTCTTGTCACCCAGGCTGGAGTGCAGTGGTGCAATCTCAGCTCGCTGCAACCTCTGCCTCCCAGGTTCAAGCGATTCTCCTGCCTCAGCCTCCTGAGTAGCTGGGATTACAGGTGCCCGCCACCACATACAACTAACTTATTATTTGTAGAATAATAAAAATTCTATGTTGACCAGGCTGGTCTTGAACTCCTGGGCTCAAGTGACCCTCCCACCTTGCCTCACAAAGTTCTGGGACTACAGACATGAGCTACCGTTCTCAGCCTAAAAGAAACCATTTTAGAAACAGGGAGTTCTACTTAGATTGGCAGAGTTAAGGTCAAAAATATAAAGTACACATTGCTACTTTATCTTCAGCCCTTTCCTTTAAGAGGCAAATGAGCATAAAATATGGGTGCATGTTGCTTGGTTCTCAGACAGTGAAGGAATTTCTCCAGTGTTTAAATATATTCATATAACCAGTTATATAAATCTAAATATAAAAAACGTCTCCAATACATTTTTAAGATAGCATTCACCATTTCTGTGAAAGGTTGGACATTACCAGCCAGGCGCGGCAGCTCACACCTGCAATCTCAGCACTTTGGGAGCCTGCGATGGAGAATTGCTTGAAGCCAGGAGTTCAAGATTAGCCTCAGCAACATAGCGAGATCCCATCTCTACATCGACATCTACAAATAAAAAATTAATTAATTAAAAGCTTATCTCCACATAGATGTCCCACATGCAGAGCCCCAAATCAATGACCATTGTCTTTCTCCCCCAAAGTATTCCTCTCTCTGTTCAGCTAAGCATTTTCACTTCATCCACCTGCACTTTCCCCAGAACACCCCACCGACACCCCTCCACCCTGCTAAGCATGCCCATCTCTGCCACCATGAGGGGTGAATCTTGGGCTTCTCTGATTTTTCTGTAGTGAACATGCACGTATTTATTTTATTAAAACAACTCTTACTTTTTAAAAGATCCAACTTGGCCAGGCACAATGGCTCATGCCTATAATCCTGGCACTTTAGGAGGCTGAGGCAGGTGGATCACCTAAGGTCGGGAGTTCAAGACCAGCCTGACCAACATGGAGAAACCCCGTCTCTACTAAAAATACAAAATTAGCCAGGCATGGTGGCACATGCCTGTAATCTCAGCTACTTGAGAGGCTGAGGCAAGAGAATCATTTTAACCTGGGAGGCGGAGGTTACAGTGAGCTGAGATCATACCATTGCACCCCAGCCTGGGCAACAAGAGTGAAACTCCATCTCAAATAAATAAATAAATGAATAAAAGACCTAACTCAAACCATCTTTATAAAAGTTGGAATCATACAGTGTGTCTTTCTGTGACTGGCGTATTTCACTAAGCGCAATGTCCTCAAGAGTCTTCCCTGGTGGAGCCTGTGTCAGGACGTCCTCTTTTTCAGTCTGAATGTTCCAGGTGGGTAATACCACAGCTTGTTTGCAAACAGCCTTTCAGTTCCTCAGTTTGCCATCCTGTCTATCCATGCACACCTCACAGGTTAGAATGCTAGACCCATGGCTCCTCAGGAAAGGCTTTCTAAGCACCTGCTGTGTACCAGGCTGAGTCCTGAGGACACAGAGATGAGGCCGGCATGTCCTGTGAGTTTCTCGCAGGAGCACCGGGTTGTCAAGGTCTGCCCTGGGGACCCGGGAGCTGGGGGAGTGAGGGCAGATTCCTCTCATCATAGTTGTGTGGTCCTCAGCTATCGGAAACTGGAGAAGAACCTGGAGAAAGAGCAGGAGCACTGGACCCGGCTCCGGAGGTACTCCTTCTTGCTCCAGAGAGAGAACTTCAAGAAGGAAGCTGCCACCACCCTGGGCGCTGAAAAGGTGTCAGTCACTGGGCAGCCGCTCCCGGGACACTGAGGCCAGGAGAAATGAGACAGAGCCGCGGCTGCACGGGCCTGCACTCGGAGCCTGAGGCCTCCGCAGGGGCGGCAGGAACTCAGCCTCTTGTCAGAGCCCTCAGGTGGGTGGATGTGTCACCGAAATAAACAGTGATATTGTCTCAGACTCCCAAGTTGCTGTGGTGTGTAACCCATCGTTCCCACCCAGTCCAGATCCCAGCAGGGCCCAGATGACAGTTTCAACTTGAGTCCCAGGCCTGGTAACGGCCAGTCACCTCCTAGGCCCTGGAGAGTCACTTTCCTCAGATAAGCAGATGCCCCACGCCAGCAACTGTGAGGCCCCCTGTCCTCTCCAGCCGCTTCTCACACCTATATAGAACAGGTTTGAGGAGCTGAGGCTGGGTGGTGGCATAAGGGCCTGAGGCCACGCAGGTGTGAGAGGCAGAGTGGGAGGGAGAGGTGGCAGGCAGGCCAGACCCAGGCCACTGCTGCCCCCAGAACGCTAGAGGAGTCTGGGCAGAGAGACACCTTGCTCTTCTCTAGCAACTGCTCTCCCAGAAAAACCAGCCAGAGGGGTCCCCAGCAGCCCATGTGGAGCCTTTGAGGCTACGGTGGGTCACATGTCCCAGCCTGGTCCTAGGCCTGCCTGGCCTCTCAGATGTAAACTACCCGGGAGGCTGACTGCACGCAGGGCTTGCAGTGGCGGCTGATTCTGTGGCCTCGTCCACTTCCTCCCTGGGCCACACACCACATCCCTTGTTGGCCAGACACCTCCCGTACGGCACTGATACTGGCTGGCTGACTGTCCCCCTTGGATGAAGGGATCCCCGCCTCAGACACTCTGGCCCTGTCTACACCCCACCATGGGAATGAAATGCCGCAGCCAGCATAGCTCTTGGCATAATTCCCTCTACACAGCAGGCGCTCTGGCAGCTCTCTGGAGATGAGGGAGGAGAATTAGGAAGATGGTCTTGGCTTACACATCACCTAAAGGTGGTGAGGAATCAACATTTCTGTGGTTTGTGTATTTACATCTGAGCCTAAAGCAACCTTGTGGAACAGAAGTTATCCCCATTTTACAGAGAAGAGAATTGAGACTCAGGATAGACAGAACAGCCTGCGCCAAGTCCCCATGGCATTCCACAGCAGATGCTAGAAACCAAACTCAGTTTCTACCTTTAGCGAAATGGGGTGTGTTGGCTCCGATAACTTCGCCATCTAGGAGTCATGCCGATGGTGTGGCTGGATCCCAAGTCTCCCTCCACCTCTCAGTTCTACTCCTCCTTCAGGCAGGCCTTCTGCTTCGGTGACACCAGGAGCACCCAGCGGGCCACCCCTTCCAGTGGTTCTGGCAAGGCCCTGAGCCCCCTGCTCACTGGCCTGCCTGTGGTCTCTCTCTGGAACTGCTCACTGTCATGATGGTCAGGCCTGCGGCAGGTGCCGGTCCCTGGAGGGAGGGAGGGGTCCTGCCACTTCACACCAAGGACTGACAGGGGAAGAGCGCTCTGGGGAAAGGAAATGACAGGGTTATGAGGGAGGAAGGCAGGAGGGAGGCGGAGCAGGCAGACAGCAGAGGCACCCTTCCCAGCAGAGCCAGTGGGGAGCCCAGCCCACCCTCTGCCAAGACATGTGCTGCCCGCACCTGGCCACCTCCTTTCCCAGTATGTGGGGAGAGCAGGTGGGGAGAGGGGAGCAGAGGCATTCACAAGGCGCCTTCTGTGCCAGGTCCCACCAGCGGGAAGAGGGAGAGGGAACCAGGGCCTGTCAGCACTAGGCTGGCGCTCCCCAGCTGGGAGGCCAGGCTGCCAGGGCTCCAGCCACCTCCACCTGTGTAGCCTTAGGCTGAGCAGGCCATGCCCGTGCCTGTGGGCCCCAAAGAGGACCTTGCCCTCTGGGTGACAGATACACTGGAAACATCAAAAACATCAAAAAATAAGTAGTCTCAGGGGACTGTTGGGACGAGAGCAAGGCAAACCAGTGCCCAGAGCAGCATTTAAAGAGGCGCTCCCTCTCAGGCCTGCGCGCAGGCTGAGTCAGCACTTGGACAAAGTGGCCTCTGGCCTGGCCCTGGGACCAGCAGGGACTTTGCCATCAGACCAGGCTAGCTTCCCTCCCAGCCCCATGCCGCCCCACACTGTGGCATCCATGTGCCCCTCAGGTGGACTTGCTGATTACTGACCTGAGGGTGGCTGGATCTGAGCACAGCCCTTCCTAGCACACCACCCACCCTGCCTGGCTCTGAGACAGTCTACCATCCACTCAGGGACAACTGTGGACCACCACCCCTCTTCTTCATCTCCCACGTTCACACTGGAACCTTGGCCTGTCCTTAATGTGCTGCCCTCCTTTACATGTTGTCCCATCAGCATCCACAAAGAGGCCGCACATGCGCACAGCCTCATATGCACACAGCACCCACACATGCGCACAGCCACACATGTGCACAGCACCCACACACGCGCACAGCCTCACATGAGCACAGCCACACATGCGCACAGCCTCACATGAGCACAGCCACACATGCGCACAGCCTCACATGCGCACAGCCACACATGCACACAGCTTCCACACCTCCACACACCCATCCATGCGCACAGTGTACACACATCCACAACCACACAGCATCCACACCTCCACACGGCATCCACACCTCCACACACCCATCCATGCGCACAGTGTACACACATCCACATCCACAAAGCATCCACACCTCCACACAGCATCCACACATCCACACCCATCTATGCGCATAGTGTACAGACATCCACATCCACACAGCATCCACACCTCCACACAGCATCCACACCTCCACAGTATCCACACCTCGACACACCCATCCATGCGCACAGTGTACAGACATCCACATCCACACAGCATCCACACCTCCACAGTATCCACACCTCGACACACCCATCCATGCACACAGTGTACAGACATCCACATCCACATAGCATCCACACCTCCACACGGCATCCACACCTCCACACACCCATCCCTGTGCAGTGTACACACATCTACATCCACACAGCATCTACACCTCCACACAGTAACCACACCTCCACACAGTATCCACACCTCCACACAGCATCCACACCTCCACACAGCATCCACACTTCCACACGGCATCCACACATCCACACCCATCCATGCGCATAGTGTACAGACATCCACATCCACACAGCATCCACACGTCCACACGGCATCAACATATCCACAGCTCCACACATTCCACACAGCATCCACATCCAAACATCCACACATCCACACCTCCACACATCAACACAGCATCCAGACCTCCACACAGCATCCACACATTCACACCTCCACACATCCACACAGCATCCACACATCCACACCTCCACACAGCATCCACACCTCCACACAGCATCCACACCTTCACACATCCACACAGCATCCACACATCCACACAGCATCCACACTGCAGCCACACATCCCTGTCTCAGTGTGGAGTGACACTTGTGGTCCACAAGCAGAAGCTAGTTCCCTGCTAACCATGACACTGGTGGCCGGCATGTGTTAGGAACGTTATTTTACACATTTCACACACACAGCCCCCCGACTCCCGCCACAGTGTGCGTTAGGAGCATTATTTTACACACACAGCTGTGCCCCCCACCACATACACACGCCACACACACACACCCTACCTTGCTGCCAGGGCTCTTGCAAAGACAGGCGTCATCAGCCACGCGTCTGTAGCTGACCCCGTCCCCGGGGGCTGCATACTAGCTCCCTGTGCTTCAGCTTCTGTGTGTAAAAGAGGGAGAGTGCAAACCCACCCTAAGCCACAACACTTGAAATTAGATGGCACATTTCAGGCAATAAGCACACAGCCTGGCCGAGGGTCGCTGCTCGGGAAACGTGCGTTTCCCTGCGCTGGCTTCTCGCCAGGTGGCCCTGCGACAGCAGCTCCCCAGAACAGGAGGGCGGCTGGGGACCAGCGGGGACCAGAGAGCAGCTAGCTGGCCTCAGCGGGCGCCCCTGTGCTGTGCGGTCCCTCTCACTAACCCTCCACGGCACGCAGGGCCTGGCCCAGACCACTACATACTGGGGCACCCCACCTGGGCCTTGGGGGAGGTGAGGTACCCCCAGAACCCTCTGTTCTTGAGACAAGCTGGTGTTCAGCTGTAGCGAGGGCAGCACACCGGTGATTACACACACAGGTCTGGAAAACGCTGCAGCCCACCACCTGCAGCCTTTTCCTCAACTCTCCTGTTTTTAATGGCCGGTAGCTGGGCTTACCTCGCAGCTGGGCTGAGAACCGAGGCGGGAGAGGCTCCCCTACCACCCGGCACGAGGTGCCTACCTGGACGCTGGCTACTGTGGTCGGCTCTGTGAACGGGCACAGGGTTTACTCCAGGTGCGGAAGGGGCCGGCCGGGATGGGGGATGGGGACGCCGGCACTGTGAGAGGCGCCCCTTCCTATCTCCAATCCTGTCTGGGCAGCTATTAGCAGGATCTTGTTAATGAAAATTCACACCTGGGTGCTAATAAACAGTGGGACCCTCCCAGGCGTGGAGCCGGAGGAGAAGCCCTCTGCAGGGAAAGGGGCTGGCCAATGATCCCCACCTATCTGTGAAAAGACTTGCTAATAACTTTAATTCCCCATCCTAAAACGCAAGGCCTTTGCCATGCAAATAGACCTTCTAATTTGGGTCGGCTCCAGAAAACTTCCCGCTGCCCAGTTAGGGTACCGGGAGGGAAGTGAGAGATGGGCCAGAGAGCAGGAGAGGCGAAGGTGTGAGATCCCACCCCGCTGCAGGCCTGGCTTTTAGAGTCCACTCTCTGTGGCCAAGCCCCAGCCAAGGTGTGCCCTGCCTGGCCTGGATCCCTGAACTCCAGATCTGGGACCCGATCCCACTCTGCTTGACTGCCCCTCCTGGCCTGGGACAGAGTCCCAGAAGTGACCTCTGAAGCTCTGAAAAAGGAGCTCACCAGTATCAGCGGATGCACCGATAAACCAACAGAGATGTAGCCAACAATGGAAGAATACTGGGCAATAAAAAGAAATGAAGGTCTGCTGGGTGTGGTGGCAAGCGCCTGTAATCCCAGTAATTTGGGAGGCTGAGGAGGGCGGATCACCTGAGGTCAGGAGTTCAAGACCAGCCTGGCCAACATGGTGAAACACTGTCTCTACTAATAGAAAAATTAGCTGGGCGTGGTTGCCAGCGCCTGTAATCCCAGCTACTTGGGAGGCTGAGGCAGGAGAATCGCTTGTACCTGGGAGGCAGAGGTTGCAGTCAGCCGAGATCATGCCACTGCACTGCAGCCTGGGAGACTCAGTCTCAAAAAAAAGAAAGAAATTAAATTCTGACACAGGAGGCAGCATGATAAGCCTTCAAAACAGTGTGCTCAGCCACAGAAGCCAGACACAAAAGGCCGTATTTTGGGATTCCTTTTATGTGAAATGTCCAGAAAAAGTAAACCTATAGAGACAGACACTAGATGAATGAGTGTCAGGGGCTGGGAGGAGAATCGTGGGGAGTGATGCTAACAGGTACCCCATTTCTTTGGGAGGGGTTGAAAATGTTCTAAAATTAGGGACAATGATTGCACACCTCTGTGGATATACTAAAACCGTTCAGTCGTTAAGAGTGAATTTTATGGCATGAGAATTTATCTTAACGCTCTTATAAAGGCAGACACTAAGGCCTGTGTTCCAGACATTTGAAGGAGAGGAGGAGCAAACTGGGTATCCAGAGAGGCTACATCCCTTCTCCCCACACACCCTCCAAGCGTGAGGGTTCCCAACACCCTGGGCTGGATGAAGACAGGCTTCCTGGACTCAAGACTCCCCTCTCCTTTTTATTTTTTTGAGACAGTTTTGCTCTTGTCGCCCAGGCTGGAGTGCAACAGCGCGACCTCAACTCACTGCAACCTCCGCCTCCTGACTTCAAGCGATTTTCCTGCCCCAGCCTCGAAAGTAGCTGGGATTACAGGCACTTGGTACCATGCCTGGCACCCCTCTCCCTGACATGAATCCAGCAAACGAAAGGAGTGCAACTGCCTGTGCGGATTCCGATGCAACCTATGAGTTCCTCATCTCTCCCCAGCTAGGCCTCTACGAGGTCGTGGTTATATAAACTCAGGACGGCCACACCTTTATGCATGTCCCTAAGCCACAAGGGGGAAACCCCACAGAAAAGGGAGATAGGAAAATGCGGGGGAGGCGGAGGGGGTCGTTCAAGGCCAGGCTGCTCCAGTACATGGAGAATAAGGCCCCAGGATCCAAGAAAGTGACCCCTTGGAGCTGTTGTCCCTCAGGCCCCAATATGAATGGAGCTGGCAAAATCATACCAGGGCTGAGAGCTGGGACTCTGAAGCCTATATGGGCTTGAGTGCTGACCCTCATCCTTCCGTAAAACTGTCCAGTATGACATGTATTAGGTATATGATGTACATACAATAAATAATAAAAGAGTTGTATTTCTACAGAATTATTTCGGTTTTAACTAGTTCCCCACCAAGTTCAAAGGAAAGATGAGCAGATTCTACTTACCACCGCCTTCTCCTAGGTCGCCCCTCCCCACCCCTTCCAGGCTGACCCATCTGGACTAGGAGATGCTGAGCCAGGGCTGGGGGCAAGGCCAAAGGAGTCTGGGCCTCCGGGGATGGAGGGGGGGCGTTAAAGATTGCAAGAACCCCTCCTAACTCTCCCATGCTCTTCTTTGGAGAGAGGGAGCTGTGTCCACGGGGAGGAAGAAGAAATGGCCAACTGACACCAGCACATTTATTCACAAATAAATAAATTCACATCAGGCAGAGCTTCCTGCTTGTCTCAAAGCGTCTAACCCTATGGGTCCCTCCATGGAGGGGGGCGCTGGGAAGAGCCAGCGCGGTGGGGACGGCTCTCACCCGCAGCAATGCCCCTGCTGGGATCGCCGTGCCCTCTTCCAGAAAAGGCAGTTGGCAGAGGAACCACCTCGAAGGTGCTGAGGCCACAACAGCCTCGGTGCTCACAGAGAGGGCATCAGTTGTCCGCTGTCATTGGGCTCCTCAGGCCAGCAGCCACTCCAAGGCGAGAGGGGCATCCAGGTCTCCAGCAGGGCCAGCACGTCGGCGGGAAGGAGCTGCAGGGAGAAAGAGGACAGCGCAAGCCTCAGCACTGGTGGCCTCGTGAGCGTGTCCGCGCTCGTGGCCTCTCCTGCTCTCCCTCTTGGCGCCCTGGGCATACTGTAGAGGCCAAGCTGCGGGCAGGGAGCGCTACAGTGCCCGGTCCTGGCTGTGGTGGGCGGTGGGGCTGTGCGCGGGGGCAAGGGGAAGGCACTAACCGCTGACGGCGGGCTCGGCTCCATCGCCTGCCCTTCCAGGCACGTCGCATCGGCGAAGAGCGCAGGCGGGTCGAGCAGCTCGGGCGTGTATCGGGCTCCGGGGCAGGCGGGCGGGGACCCCCAGGACGCCCCGGCGCAGACGGCAGAGCCCAGGCCCAGCCCGCGCCCCTGTCCCGGCCCCGGCCCCGGCCCGGGCTCCCACCCCTCCGTCTCCGTCTGCGCCTGCGTGGGGCCGCCGTCGAGGCACAGCGGGCAACCCCGAGGGGACCCCGCGTCCCCGCGCTGCCGGCATCGGCGCTGCAGACTCTCCTCGCTGAGGCCCAGCACGGCCGACAGGTGGCCGATGTAGCGGATAGCCAGGCGCAGCGTCTCGATCTTGGTCAGGCTCTGGCCAGCTGGCGCCACGGACGGCGGCAGGAAGCGGCGCAGCTCGTGCAGGGCACGGGCCAGCGTGCGCATGCGCAGTTTCTCCCGCTCGCTGGCGCTCTGCCGCTGTCCGCTACCCTGGCGGCTGCTGCGCGCGCTGCGTCTCCCCACTGTCCCGGCGCGGGAGTCTGGGCGGGCGCAGGGTGGCGCGAGGCTCGGCACGGGGCTGCCCCACGAGTCTGGGGACGAGGGAGCGGAGCAGTCCCTTTCGGAGGACGGCGGCGGCCGAGCCGGGCCCCAGGCCGCGGAGAACATCCAAGACTCACACAGCGGCTGGGCCATAGCGGCAGCGGCGCGTCTGCCGGCTGGGGACTGGCGACCGCTTTATGCCGCGCCAGAGGTGTGAAGTGGCCCCTTCCAGGCCGCATCAGCACATCAAAGCGGACTCGGGGCCGGGAGGGGGCGGAGCCCCACCCTTTGAATCCACGGGGGGCCAAGGTGCCAGCCCGTTGGTGCGCCCGTTTCACCCACCTGGGCCCTCGCTTGGGCCGAATCAGCTTCTTGGGCTTCCCGCCTGCACCCAGTGCTGGGTGAAGCCCGGGGCGCTGGGGCAGCCCTGCAGGTTAAAGGAAGCTGGGTCAGAAAAACGAAGTCTACTTCCTACCTTTGGAGCCCGTCTTCGCTTGCTGGGGACCTTAAGCAAATTCTTAGTTCTTTTGCACCTTAGCGTCCAATTTGCATAATGGGAGCCTCGGGGTATGCGCCAGCTGGACAGTGGAAGTGCTCCTAGTAAGGATCAGGAGCAGGGGCCTCATTCCCTCTAAAGGCGGGGAAAACAGTAAACCACTTCTTTGAGGCAGGCTGGCCCTGGGTAGACCCTTCCCTGGTGAGGACACTGGGACAGGTGTGTGGACCGTGCAGGGAAGCAGCACCCGGGAAACCCAGCAAGCTGCGGAATCTGGTCAGGCTGCTGGACCTTCTGAGCAGAGGGAGGGGCGAGCCTGCGCCTCCAACCCCAGGACACCTTAGCCCGGCAGGGTTTAGGGCTCAGCCTCTTGCCACAGCTGTCACCACTAGACTTTACCAGATGTTCTGCTATTTTGAGACAGGTATAACAGGTTTTCCCAGTGAAATATGAGTGGAAATGATGCAGCCAAGGCGTCTGACAAAATCCAACACCCTTCGTAATAAAAATTCTCAGCAAACTACTAGAGAGGAATTTCATCAGCCTGATGAAAGGCACCTACAAAGAACCTACAGGTAGCCTCATACTGAGTAGTGAAAGACTGAAAGCTTTCCCCCGCCCTGCCCTCGCCCCATATCAGGAAAAAGGCGAGGGTGTGCAATTAGAAAACAAAAGACATACAGGTCAGAAAGGAAGAAATAAAACTTTCGCGGGTTATGGCAGCTCTGGGCCCTGCTGCGCGCGTGAGCCTGACCAGCTTAAAGCCGAATCCTAGCTCCAGGAAACCCACGAGGCGACCAAACGGTCGGAGAAGAGGTGGCAAATGGGGCAGAGGCCATAAAGGAGAAAGGTAGAGAGGAAACGCTCCACTGGGCTTTGAGATAGCCCAGACTATTTTACATCAGAATCCCAAAGTACAGATTTAATGAAGGACCTAGCTTCAGAGCCTTTAAGTCTCAATAGACTGCAATATCTTACTGATTTGGGTCATGTTGATCCTACTTAACCTGTTGACTTAACCCAGCTTGTCAATGGAAAAGGTGTGGCCATTCAGCCACTTAAAGAGGATTATGGTGTTCAGGTGGTCAAGAAGGTTGCTGACACCTTTCAGGTGAAAGTTAATATTGAGCGAGGCTTGGTAGCTCAGGCTTGTAATCCCAGAATTTTGGGAGGCCGAGACAGGCAGATCATGAGGTCAGAAGATCAAGACCGTTCTGGCCAATATGGTGAAACCCCATTTCTACTAAAAATACAAAAATTAGGCTGGGCACTGTGGCTCACGCCTGTAATCCTAGCACTTTGGGAGGCTGAGGTGGGTGGATCACCTGAGGTCAGGAGTTCAAGACTAGCCTGGCCATTGTGATGAAACCCCATCTTTTACACACACACACACACACACACACACACACACACACACACACAAATGAGCTGGGCATGGTGTAGTCCCAGCCACTCAGGAGGCTAAGGCAAGAGAATCGCTTGAACCCAGAAGGCAGAGGTTGCAGTGAGCCGAGATCTCACCACTGCACTCCAGCCTGGTGACAGAGTGAGACTGTGTCTCAAAAAAAAAAAAAAAAAGTTAATATTGAAGTACAGTTGGCTTCAGAACTAGCTATTGCTGCAATTGAGAAAAAATGGTGGCGGTGTCACTACAGCCTTCTATGATCCAAGAAGTCTAGAAATTCTATCCAAACTTGTTCCATTCTTTTTGGGGACAACCTATTCCAAAAAGAATGCTTCCATCTGAAGCACTGATACCGTATTCCACAAATGCAAAGAATTGTGGGAACCTGGCAGACTCTGCCAAATTCCCTAAAGCATAACTCAAACTTGCCAGGAAGGAGAGTTCTAATTTGCCGGATATCACTAAAGAACCCTTCATATGTTCTGTACTCAGAAGGATCCAAGGCAAATTTTCTTTGGGTGCTGAATATGGTAGATAAGAAAATCCTAAAATTTACAGAGGAAAATCTCAAGTACTAGAGCTCATCCAAGAAAGAGTTGTTGAAGAATACTAGAAAAGGGCCAGGTGCAGTGGCTGACACCTGTAATCCCAGCAGTTTGGGAGGCAGAGGTGGGCAGATCACCTGAGGTCAGGAGTTTGAGACCAGCCTGGCCAACATGGTGAAACCTCATTGCTACTAAAAATTACAAAAATTAGCTGGGCATGGTGGCAGGCCCCTGCAATCCCAGCTACTCCAGAGGCTGAGGCAAGAGAATCACTTGAACCCAGGAGGCGGAAGTGACAGTGAGCAGAGATTGCACCACTGCACTCCAGCCAGGGGGAGATTTCACCAGGCCCCTCAGGGGTTTGAATTTCCACCCCAGTCTTAATAGGTACTTCATGCATGGCTATCTGCTTTCCAGCTAGACTGTGAAGTACCTGGTGTCTGGCATTGTATCTTTACCTGTTTTCAAGCAGAATGGTTTCTTTCAGCGCCAGACGTCTGATTTTATTTACTTACTTATTTTGAGACAGGGTCTGGCTCTGTCACCCAGGCTGGAATGCTGTGACACAATCTTGGCTCACTGCAACCTCTGCCTCCCGGGCTCAAGTGATCCTGCCACCACCTCAACTGTGTTGTACACCAGGGGTGTCCAGTCTTTTGGCTCCCCTGGGCTACACTGAAAGAAAAATACTTTTCTTGGGTCACACACAAAATATACTAATGAGGCTGCGCACAGTGGCTCATGCCTGTAATCCCAGCACTTTGGGAAGCCTAGGCAGGTGGATCACTTGAGGTCAGGAGTTTGAAACCAGCCTGGCCCACATGATGAAACGCTGTCTCTACTAAAAATACAAAAAATTAGCCAGGCATGGTGGTACACACCAGTAGTCCGAGCAACTCAGGGGGCTGAAGCAGGAGAATTGCTTGAACCAGGGAGGTGGAGGTTGCAGTAAGCTGAGATCACACCATTGCACTCCAGCCTGGGTGACAAAACAAGACTGCCTAAAAAAAAAAAAAAAAAAAAAAAAAATTAACAATAGCTGATGTGCTAACAAAATTGCAAACAAATCTCATATAATGTTTTAAGAAAGCTTATAGATTTGTGTTGGGCCGAATTCAAAGCCGCCATGGGCCTTGGGTTGGATGAGCTTGGTGTACACCAAACCACTCATCTCCTCCCCCCTTCACCTCCTTCCTCCCCACCTCTCCACTCACCCCTCACCCATCCTCTCTGCTTAACTTTCTGTGGCATGGTGCTTTTTTCCTGTGAGACTAAGGGTGAGCTGGTGGTAGAATGATGGCCAAGTGGCATGAGCTGGTTGTAGCAGTGATGGCCCTGTGGCATGGTGCCTTTTCCCTGCGTGTCTCTCCCACCCCACCTTCCTGGGGTCTCTTCTGTCTCCTGCTGCCCTTGGCCTCCTCTGCAGTCTGTCCCAGCAGCCCTGGAATGCCTATGCCCAGGGTCACATCCAGAAGAAGCTGTGCCAGCCAACCCCTTAGGATGAGGAGAAGGGAAGAGGCTCCCTCCCTGTGCAGCTGTCAGCAGGCCCTACTCCTTTTGGACTGCAGTAGATGGATGCCTTCCTGGGCTCCAGAGCTAACTCAGGGACCTGGCATGGGGGTCCAGTGACTGAGCCTCTTTGATGCCACTAGGCCCAAGGGTTGGGAATTGGGAAAGTGTTCTGTGTGCTGAGGTGGGAGAGGGTGTAGAGAAAAGGCCAGAAAGCAGCTAGGCAAGGTGGCTCATGCCTGTAATCCCAACATTTTGGGAGGCCGAGGCAGATGGATCACCTGAGGTTAGGAGTTCAAGACCAGCCTGGCCAACATGGTGAAACTCCATCTCTACTAAAAATACAAAAAATTAGCTTGGCACGGTGGTGGGTGCCTCTAATCCCAGCTGCTTGGGAGGCTGAGGCAGGAGAATCGCTTGAACTCAGGAGGTGGAGGTTGCAGTGAGCCAAGATCATGGCATTGCACTCCAGCCTGGGCGACAAGAGCGAGACTCCCTCTAAGAAAGAAAAGAAAGAAAAGAAAAGAAAAAAGGAAAGGAAAGGAAAGAAAGAGAAAATGTCAGAAAGCAGGAAGGCTGTACCTCAGGAGGATCCCAGTGCCCTGTGGTCCAGGGACTGCTGAGCATCTCAATGCCAAGGAAGGCCTGCTTTTTGCATGATAATTACTTCATTTGTAGCTAATACTTGAGTAAACTTAGAATGACCACAAACTCTTATTTCTCGTCCTATCTTTATTTGCAAGTAGAACATTTGCTTTACACATAGTTACACAGTTAACATGTGCAGGGGGTAGAGCAAATCTCTGTACCATCCTGCTCTGGGCTTCCAATTGCCTGTGACAGAAGCAAGCCCCATTACTGGGCTGACAAAAATGCTTTGAAACAAATTTGGTTTTGGGGGGTTTTTTTTCCTTTCCTTTTTAAGACAGGTTGTTGCTCTGTCACCCAGGCTGGAGTGCAGCAGTGTGATCTTGGCTCACTGCAGCCTTGACCCCCTGGGATCAGGTGAACCTCCCAGTAGCTGGGACCACAGGTGGTGTGCATCACACCTGGCTAACTAAAAAATATATTTTTATAGAGTCTGGGTCTCACTTTCTGCTCAGGCTAGTTTCAAACTCCTAGCTTCAAGTGATCCTCCTATCTCAGCCACTTAAAGTGCTGGGATTATAGGTATGAGCCACCATGCCCAGCCTATATTTTATTAGGTACAAAATCAACTCGACATATTTGGACAAGAGACCATATGTGTGGGAGGCACACTTTACGTTGAAACCACAGCCCCTAGAAGTTCTCAGATCTGAAACCTAATAGCTAATGTTGAACATGTGGGAACCACAGAGATTTGGAGCAGAAAAGGGACAGCAGGAGTGGCCACGA